TCCCCGGATCATAGTGAAGAGGTGGGCACAGAGTGCCGAGTGGGTCTCATCTTGTCTGAAACCTCTGATGATGGTCGTGCGAGACAGACCAATGGCTTGCTGTAAATTGTACGACATTTTCATCCCAGCGACTGCCTTCATCTGTAAGAGAATGTGTTCAAACTCAAGTTTAAAAAAATGGCTTTTCTGGGTGGTGTAGCCAAAAGATTGAGTATTAAGGTACAGTAAAGAAGCAGGACTTTTGAATTGTGCTCATCTGTTAAATAAACTCACATGGATGAACCCTGTGTACTTCTTGTCAATCTCCACTAGCTGCTGGTCAGCTTTGTTCCTCATAGTTGGCTCTGGGTCTGTTCCCATTGCAATGAGGTAGGGTACACACTGCACAGATAGGAACAATGATAGGCAATGTAAGTATAAAGTGAATAATCCCAACAATTATAACATTTAAACATCTTCATTCTTACATTCACATTAAAAAATAAAAGACATGAGGAATTTTTTTAAAGGCCAGTTTTGCTTCCTTCTTACCTGTACAGGATGGATGAGACCCTGGTTGAGCGTGAGAGCTATTACGTTAAGAGCAAAGTGCCGCACACTGGACTGTGTGTGAAAGAACGCTTCCAGAACCTGTTTTAAATAAAGCTGCATTATGGAGCTGCTCATCCCTGATGAAATGTCCCCCATCTCCTTAAGATCCTCTTGGTTTGACAGTTTCTTCCCTACAAGGACAAACAAATATGTCAAACAGATAGCAGGGACCTCTAATATGTTGAATATAAATGTCTTTGAAAACAGGTGCAAAGGCAGAGCTACACTTACATTCTCTGTCCGCTTCCTGCATCCGTGTGTCTTCCTCTTGAAGGTACGTCTGGAGGTTTTTGAGTATTTGGATTTTGAGGTTGATTGAGGAGGAGCCGTCAGCCAGGATACCATTGTACAAAGTCTTCACCTCAGGCATAAACATCTGGCTGGGATGCATGATCACAAGGAAGCCTGAGGCAAGAGGAAAACAAACACGAGAGCCATAAGAACGAGTAACACATTCTTCAGCACATCAACAGTTCCACTTCTGCTTTACTTATTATTGCATGTAGATATTTTCCACCAGGCAGTGCCCTGAAACACAGCAGACCTTATATACAATAACCACACCATGACGTAAACATGCCCTCATTGACAATAATGTTAAATTGATTTTTGGCAATCCTACCAAGACCAATGATAGCTTTGGTCTTGACCTCCTCATCAGCATGTTTGGTGAAATACAGCAGCAGCTCCAGAACTTTCTCCTTGATAACAACCTGTAAATGTCAAACATTTTGACAGGACAATGGATATTTCATTATTTGTATAAAAAGGTAGACGTTTGATGATTGGTTAATTTCATTCAACACCATTTATTTTTTTGTTACCTTGTTTGAGCCTTTGAATTCTTCCAGGTCAAAATCAAAGTGTCGTGCCAGAGCACCCACAGTGAAGAGTGACCGAAGCAGGAAAGGCTTGTTTGCTACCAAGGTTGGACTACTGGAATCCTCCTGATGCTGAATCTTAAGTTTGTTAAGTGCACCTAGAAAATAATGAAATACCAATGTTTATAAATGTATCATTTGACCATTTCTAGATTGACTGGCAATTAACATCAAACTAAGTCAGTTAAACTAACCGTAGAATCTGTTGAAGCATGCCCAGACAAACTTGTAGTTGTGTGTCACTTTGTTGACAACAGCGCCTAGGCAGCTAACACAGTGCTGTACCACCTACAGAACAACCAAACAACGCGGTGTCATTAAAAACAACTGTCTTCAGAGATGAAATTGTCCTGGATGAATTGTAAGACAAAAAACTTCCACATACAGTCATGCCGTATTTGATGATCAGCTTCATTAGATCTTCTTCAATAGTGGCAAGGAATGTTTCACTGGGGTGCTCCATCAGTGGGACCACCAGTTCCAAGATCTTTGCCACATTACAGATGACCATAAAGTCATTGGCAGTCTGCAAGACAGAAAAAGTATGAAGCCAACTGTAAAGATGCTAATAAATGTGCTATCACAAATCAATCTTTTAAGAACAAATAAGTACTGTTTTGTCTAAAGTGTATTTGCTAAGGCAATTTAACTTCAGTTGAGTTTTCTATTTTTTTTATTTTCTCCTGGTACTCTTAATAAATGAAATGTACTAAAAATTTTAAATCTCTAGTAAAGTCAACTTACATTACACTTTGTGGTCAGGTAGGGTTGCATGGTCATGGCATGTTTGACCATCAGCTGGGCCCTGATTTTGCTGAACAAGTACAAGGTGGTGATGCACGCTACTAGCCGTGTTGAGTTCACACCTTTGTTCTCTGCAAGGAAAAATGAAACAATGAAAAGAATGTACAAAATGTGCCATTTCTGACATTTACAGGAGTTCTAAGAGTACATTTAGGTATTTTACCTAACTTTTAACATTTCATTTGAGTAAAGACTGATAAATTCAACCAAGTACAGAAAACTAGCTACGGTTTCATGTAACAACTCAAGTTAATGTCAGCAGAGATGCTTACCAGCGAGTGACTCCTCATATTTTAGGATATGTTCTACCAGATTGTCCACTAGTTGAACACAGGCCTTCTTGGCTGGTTTATATGATGCATCCTCTTCAGACTTGAGAAGCTACAGTGACAAACATTTTGATATTGTGAACACAGGTATTTCGACAAACTAAAACCCAGATCTGTAGTCAAACTCTTACATTCTGGAGAAGTTGCTCAAACCAGTCGTAGCCAGTGTCTCGACACGCTGCCACCTGTGCACAGATTTAAGACATTGTTTGAACCCTGGTTAATGGCTGATGAGTGATTTCACCTGCCTATTTGTTTTGATTACAATTGCATCTGTTTTGGCAATTTTGTCAACAGTCACCATGGAATAATGAATAAAACAGAAAATGAACAACGTTGTTCGTTTTAAAGAGTTTATTGGAGAATTTATTAAAAGTTGTTGTCGAAGCTTTAATGAAGATCTGGGACGCAGGTCTTACAGAGCCACACAAGCACTTGTCTGAACGAGAGCGCCCGTTTACAAGCTAGTGCATGTTACATTTATAGTGTGCTGGATACATTTGTGTGTGCGTACAAGAATGAGTGCAAGTTAGCCTCAGTACCATCGCCACCTGTGAGATTATCTGGCCTAACACTAACTCAGAAACAGGGAGTATGTGCATACAATTTTGAAGGCCTTACAGGAACCGGAGAAACGATAATGAGTAGATTTCCCATCACTGGCTAGCACACATAAGGTCAGGCTGTTTGTTTCAGTGTTTTCCCACTGACTACGTGAGTTTCAGTACAAGTCAAATGGTTGATAATAACACAGAATAGAATTTTGTCACAACACATCTTAAACCTACCACATCAGTGATGTTCAGAATTTTTCTCGTCATGGTCTCTTTGTCATGGGCTGGAGTTGGAGTGAACCACAACTTCTGGAATGTCTCATTCACCAGTTTCTATCAATGTTAAGTTTTGAGGGTTAATTTTTTTTATTGTTAAATTTAGTTTTTTGAGGGCGAACAAAATGCACTTAGTTCTTACCTTGATACCTTCTTCGTCATTGACCCTGCGGATCATCCTCACACACATCTCAGTGATCTTACTGAATGTGGGTTGCTCCAGACAGATGTCTCTGAGGATCTTGATCACTCGTTTTCGTACACTGATACCAGTGTCCTGTAAAGACCAGGTAATAGAGCTTATATATACAGCATTGATTACAGTTATTGATTAATAAGAGTTTTATAGATAGTTGAATATAAAAAGATTGCAAACTTTAATCATTCTATTTTATTAGAGCGACACAGGCATGATCTATATTTGGGTTTCTGATAGTGCTGCTATAGCGTTTTCCTGCCAATAGGTGGCAGTATAACAACACAACAAACAGCATGAACTTTTCCTGAACCCTCCTGAATATTTCTATGACAACAGCTACAACAATTTCAACGTGTTCACTTTTCCGATGGTGGGTAGAAAGAAAAAGGACCGTCCTTTTGTGTCTGACTGTACAATGTGAATGTGAATATTATATGACTGGTCATTGTATATTAGAGGCATTTTCACTATATTGTTTTTTTTAAGTGTAAACACTGAACCATTTAAACTTATTCAACCAGTTTGTGGCCCTGCTCTTTCTATCTGAACAGATGTGAAGTTCCACATTAATTTTGTCTGTTTGTTGATTTAAAATGCATGCATGAAGATAAAACAACTAAAATAGATCTAAATATAAACCCTGCAAGTTACACTACAAAGACAGAAACCACAGTAGTGTTTAAGCAACGAAGCATCATACCACTGTTTGACAAGACAAAGCGGTAAACCTTACTTATAAGGAGTGTTGCCAGTTCTAATAGTTCATTGTTCTTGCTGCATTAGCGTGAAAACAATTATGTTTGTGCTAAACAGTCGTTACAGAAGCATGGACTGTACCTGATGCATCAGCATTTACTCAAACAACACAAGGTTAGGACAAGACTTCAACAAAGCTTTTAAACTAACAGCAAATGCTTAATGGGTTTTCAGGGTCACAAACACTTAACCACAAAGACTGTGTATCTGCACAGCAAAATCATAGAAAAATAATCACTTGTTTGAATGGAATCTGAACAGGCAACATACCAGAATCCTCTCAATAAGCATATCGTAGTACTGTTCAGTAAGTTGGGGTCGACTCAGGACAAATCTGCCTAATAGCTCGACAGCCGCCTCTCTAACACTGGTGGAGTTGTCCATCAAACGACCATGGACACCACGCTGCATGTCCGACTGCAAATACAGACAAGAATTTAGGGTTTGTGCAGTAGGTGTGCAGGAACTTCAAAACAGTACATTTAGAAAAGATGAGGATAGGAGGGAATGTCTGTATATTGACAAAGCCAAAATAAAACTTACTCTTGCCAGTATGCTGGGGTCAACAGCCACCACTTCTGATAGACATTTCATGGCTTTAGTCCTTACAGCAATGGCATTTTCACCAAGGACTCGCAAGATCTGACAAAATAAAGGTCCTTAGTTATTAAAGCCAATATTACACTGTGTTAAGTATACAAAAACACTTCAAACTTTACCTGTGTTAAATAAATATCAAAGCTCTGGGCGAACGGCCTCATGGAGGCCAAATAACGCACAATCAGACAGGAGTCCTGATAGTCCACAGTGTCAGAGTTCATTCTGTGGGAGAAAAAAAAAAGAAATCAGGAAAAACAACAACAGTAAGATTATGCATTTCTTTATCTGGAGCTTAAACAAGCCATTATCGTATATCCATAATCTTGCCCCCCCCTACCTATCTGACCTCCTCCACGTCTTAACCCCCACTCGGTCCCTCAGATCCTCCTCCTCCATCCACCTCTCCGTCCCACCCGCCCGCCTTAGTACTATGGGAGCCAGAGCATTCAGTCGCTCTGCTCCCCATCTCTGGAACGCATTACCACCCGACCTCCGTAACTGTGTCTCTCTCCCCACCTTCAAAACTCACCTCAAAACACACCTGTTCCGGACAGCATACTCCCTCTAACCTCCCTCCTCCTTGCTTCTGTCCATCATTGATTTTAAATGTGTTTCTATGCCCTGTTTTATAATTATCTGTTTTTATTTTATTTTTATGTACAGTGTCCTTGAGTGACCTGAAAGGCGCTTATAAATAAAATGTATTATTATTATTATAACAAACAGAATTAAGTAATAACATCCTTACTTCAGTGTCGTGAAATGAGACGGTGTGGTCTTAATGATGTTGCGCAGGAACTTCTTGCGCTTCTCAGCACGCTGCATAATTTCACTGGTGCTCTCCAACTCCTTGGCATGTTGGGGTCCATCAGAGGAGTCTTCATCCTTGGAATTTTGATTCCGCATGGATTTCTCTGCCTCTGTGGTGGCATCTCGAAACCACTGGGCAATGTAGAACTTTCTTGCAAACTAGAAAAAAATACATCACAGTATTAGTATATTCCATGGATGATAAAGTCGTTTTCTAAATATAAAAAAAAAAAGAAAATCTTTCTAATATACCTTATGCCTAACTGCTATAAAATGGATGGAATTTAAGTCAGTGAGAGTTTGCTTTTACATTTATCAATATAGTCCAAGTAAGTAAAAATGGGGTAAAATAAACCCACCACTAAAGAAGCATCTGTCTCAGCATTTTCCTCCAAGTAGTCCTGCAGAGCCTTCTGCAATTGCTGGGTCTCATTGTTACCAGACGACTACATGATCAGAAAGGCAAATGTTAATCATAACTAAAACACCATCAAAACATTTAGATTTTTTAACCATCAGTACCTCTTGTAATATGCGATCAATTGATCGCTGGTCCATCCTACTGGTGACTGCATCCTTCCTCAGACGAGCAGCCACTGTTCCCAGGTAGTCTAAAGATGCTACTCTCAGCGCCATCTCTGTCTGTTTGTTGCTGAACTGATGAACCTACAGAGAGAACAGATGTAAACAGGGTTTAACACAAAGGCATTTTTTCCTGTTTTATAAAGCATATTTTAAAGCACTGTATTATGGGATTAAAGGTCATGCCCATTCTGCAGCAGTTTTCACCTTAGGACCTAATGTATAGATTTCTCCTGAAGTCCTGAATCCTTAACACAATGAGTCATGACCCACACAAGCTTTCAAGCCTTGCCTTTGGTTGATGCTTTTTTATGCTTTTTATTCTTCTTTAATGTTTGTTACCAATTACCTGCCTTTTGGAGAACCTTTCAGAATGCTACTGGTATGACCTCTGTTGCTTTTCTCACTTTTCATGTTTACAAAGAAAGAAATTATTGAAATAAAAAAAAAAGTTTTTTAGTGTCAAAGTAAAATTCAAACCTTTAAACAGAAAAGCTGCCATTTTCCCTTGATGATTTACCATTACTCCCTTACACCATACAAAAAGTGGTTCCTTTCATTTTGGGTCCATAAATCTGTCCACTGCTATTAAACAAGATCCATTCTTAGAACACTCGCGCAAAGCTTGTGTTACTTTTAACTATAAAAATAGATGTGTGCCTCACTTACCAGCAGTCTACCAAGCAGACTGAGCAGCAGCTCTGCTGCAGGCCACTCCGGTTTATTTACTGTGGAGAGTAGGTCCTGGACAAAGTTCTCAAACAACGGCCGGTAGTCTTCTTCTGCCTGCTTACTGCCACACCTGGGGGTTAGAGAAAGACAGAGGAAAATATCATTATATGAAAAAGGAAGGAAGTCACAAAACATATACGGTGCAGCTTCAAGATACAAGATACCCAAAATAGTAACGAGTACGCAACTTTTGCAAGATTTTCATCGTGATACAAGTTATGAGTGCTTAACCGAGCTCCATTTTTCACCTCAACTTGCTGTCTCTCTCATTGTCCCTCGCTGGGTTATTTTACCCATTTTATATAAGAATAATATAAAATGTTTATGAAGATTCTCATTCATCCAATGAAACATCTTTCGAACTCAAAGAAGAAGTCCAGTTGCTTACAACTAAACCCTATGCATAATAATATAAAATGTTTTCTTAATTATTATTATTTTATATGATTAATATATTTGTTTATATCTATGTTTTTAATGTTTAGACAGGGGATTTAAATTATTTTAAATTAATTAATAGTATATTCCTGGGGGGCTGGAACAAGTTAATGGTAGTTTATTTTTAATGGGAAAAATGCAATCGAGATACTAGTGTATCGACATAAGAGTGCTGTTGTGGAACAGATTAAACTCCTATCTCAAACTGTATATAAAAAGAAGGAACTGGAACTAGCATTACTGGAGATGCCAGTAGTCTTATTCTGGATTGCGTTGCAAATCTGCATTTACCACATCATAGATATATTATGTTTAATCTGATTTACTAGGTAAACAAATTCTGCATGTTCAGAGCAAAAGAAATGCTTCTTACTTCTTCAGGAAGACTGAAAGGAAGTTTTGTGCTGTTCTCATTGCAGTCTCATACGAGTTTGTTATTAACACATCTTGATCAACCTGTAAAAGTTGAAATAAAATTGTGTAGGGGTCAAAGGTATATCATCTTAAGTATATTTTAAATTTGTACAACTTATTTTTTGTTGGCTTTACCTTTGTGTCGTTTTCTTCAAATGTTTCCTTATCACTGGGAAGGTGGACTACACACTGGATGAGTTGCAGCACCAAAGCCGTCACCATCTGGATGTACATTGGCTCACCGTCTTGGTCAGAACTGTTCAACCTTAAAACACAGGGCATTATAATTTTAATAGGTATAAGTAGTACTAAGGAGCACAATGAATTATTAACGCTTCAATTGTGGCATACAAATTTGGCTTATAGTATGTAACTTGCCTGAAATTCCTGAGGGAGCGTTTGCTGGTGGGCAGTCTCGCCAAAGATGTAAAAATCTCCTCCAAGATAAGTTGCCGGTGCTTCTCATAACGTGAGAACACCTGGAGATCATTTCAAAGTTTATATTATGTAGCAACTCGTAAATGGTGCCTTAAGCAGTGCCTTGAAAAAATGAGAAGAACAAAAGCCCAACTAAAACTCACTGCTGTCACTAGTTTAATTGCACACAGCTGCAGTTCACTGACATTCTCCACAAAGAAAGGAGTGATTCCCATCGAAGAAACCTGACAAGACAGAAACCACATGAATGTTAATCTAGAGCTTTGTTTCGCAAAGAATGGGTCACGACCCTCAGGTGGGTCACAAGAGATTTTTTTTTTGGGTCATATCGCATCATTTTGTTATGTAGTCATTACCTGGAGGATGGTGGTGTCAGTGAGTAGCTGGATCTCTAAGAGCTCCGAAATGTTGCTGACAATGTCGCAAACTTTGTTGTACAACATGACAATGACACGCTGCTTGTGTGTGGCGCATTTAGCACGCTTTGCCTTGGAGCTCAACAAGCCACCTAAAATAACAAGAATGCCTTCATTAACCTTTGATTTTCCATGACCTGCACTTCTCTAACCAACATCCAAAGTGCACAATTTCTGCAAAATGGAACAAGAAAACATGTTCTCACCTCCATGAGGGTCCACTCTGTAGACTGGGTCATACTGTGGATACAAGCTGTTCTGGAGATGGAACTTGGTGTATTGCAGCACACGCTCTATGACATCCTCTATGTAGACAGCCTTGGGCATATGCCCTGAGGTCATGATGTTGAGGGCTGTCAGACAGGCATCCGCCGACTTTGTCACTCTCTCCATTATCAGGTCTCTCCAGAGTCTCTCCTCATCCTCGGCATCGTGGTCCTGAAGTTAAACAAAGAAACAATTTAGAGAATTGACAAGCTTCCCTGGCAGGGCAACTTCTTCATTTTCTTTACTAATAACCACGACACAACAAAACAAGAAACATTAAAATAAGGTGGTTTCTCCTTTATACTGCTTTACTCTGGTTGTGGGTACTGGAATGACAAAGAAATTCACAGTGGACTCATTTAAAAAGGTTAAGAAACACTTCAGCAAGAACAAAGGAATAGCTCACATGATTCATCAAGGTGGAAAGTTTGGCCCCATCCTGGATATTCTTCTCCAGTATGTTTAACAGCTTGACAAGCTTATCAGATGGAATCTACAACAATAGAAAACATCATCCAGAATGAAACATCAACTTAGATCAGCTACAGGCACTCTGCAGCATCTACATGACATAATATTGAACTGTAACCTACCCTGTTAGAAATGCCCATGGCTTTAATCTTGGCAGACTCACTGCTAAGTTCATTTAACTGGTTTTTCCCAAGCAGAAGTTCCTGAGGTATCTCATCATCATCACCTGCTGAGAAATAAATCAAAAAGAAAAATAAATTCAAATTAAGATAATATTTACAATGAAACTTAGGGAGTTAAGTGCTTAGCTGACAATCAGCAGTGATTGTTACCCATGGCAGTAAAGTCCACATCCTCTAGATTCTCCAGTATGTTGTCGATGCTTGTCAAGAATCTTTTGAACGTGGACGAGTCAATCAACTCTTCCTGGGTCAACTTTGGCTCATATGCTTTCCTTTTCTTCTGCTTCTCCTTCATCTTAATTTTTCTGGCAACTACATTTTGAGATGATCATTATTTTAAGATAGTTTTGATTATGTACTTTTTACATTTTTTTCAACTGTTTTTCCAAACCAACCTTCACTCATGCTTGGAGGCGGTGAATCTTCTTCTGATGAATCTCTGTAGCGACTGCCAGAGCCTCGTCGCCCATCCCGTTGACCACTATTTCGATGTTCCCCTGAACCTCGTCGCTCCCGTTCTTCAAACTCCCAAGAACGATCTTTGTCTCGGCGTTGTCGCTTTCTTGCAGCTGTACAGAACATTAATGTCAAATCTGAATAATGGTAACTTCACCAGTTAAAGTTAATGAATCTGAATGGCCATGAAGCTGACTTACATTCTCCGTTAGCGTTGCGTTCTTCATCTGAGCTGACCTCAGCATATTTGGGTTTTTCATTAACAGTGCTTCGTTTCCTCTTGTTCATCTTCACTCTTTCACACAGTGGCATTGTTGACTCGATCTCTGCCAGGAGCTCTGGAGGTAATTCATTTAGAACTGCTGGGTCCATACCACCTACAGTATAATGAAAGCATTTCAAACTTTAAACCAAAATTTTAAATAATTTTACAGGTTATGAGACATGAGAAGTATTTTAGTGTTTTTGATTATATATTTTCTGTTCTCACTTTTGCTGGACTTTCCTGAGGAGACCCTGTTCTTCCCAGACCTGCTGTGTTGGATGAGCCGCTGAATTTGGTCAACTGAAAGCTTTTTCAGAACCACTACAGGTTTAGGCCTCTTCTCAAAGTCCTTCACCAAACCCAACCTCTCCAGTTTGACTTTGGGCTGACACCATGGCTGACTCTCACTTGTCCCACTGTCTTGTTTGATCTGAAGAAAAACAATTTTAAAAAAGTTATGTTAAAATTTGATGAAACTGTATTTTTGTTAAATAAATAAGCAAAAGTAAAATGTAAGAAAAAAAAGCTCAAAGTGACATGAGATTTGTGATTCTAATGTAGGTCTCTATAAAGTAGGTAAAGTTTTACAAAGAAACACTCTTCTAACACAACAGGCAGTGAAAGACCAAAGCATGATAATTGTAGATGACTTTGGTGTTGGATTTTAATATTAATTATATAAACTAAAAAACTGATTTTTCTCTTCACTGAAACAGCTTTTTTCTCTGGCTTAAACGCATCCTGTAGCAAATGGAATTGTAAACACATGCTGTTCTAATACGTATAAAAATGTACCTAAAATTACAACAACAAAAAAAGAAACAATGTTATAGAGAAAATGGACAATGAATCAGTGAGGCTTAGTTATAACATAAAAACTTTTTGGCCCAAGGATTACAGACAGTGGGATCGTTTTGTAGACTGTCGGTAAAAAGCTGCAGCGGAGTATTTTATTTGTAGAAGCCTATTTTATTAACACAAACTCACAACATAATAAGTTTAAAACAGCTTTTCTCCCTCACATATGACCAAATGTAGAAAAATGTTTTAACATACAGACATTTAGGAGCAATAACTCTAGGAACTAAGTGAATGCCAATGTATGGAAAAACAAAACAAAAGCAGCATGAACACTGGTTTACTCTGCTTTTGTGAGACTGCAGGTAGTAACAGCTGAATGATTGGTAGATGAGAAATTTTGTTTAAGTTGGTCCAGATCACCTTAGGGATCTGGAAGTTCTTCAGAGTGCCACTATGCCCTCCCAGGAGGTGAGCAGGAAATGAATCTGGAAGTTGAGCACCAGTAGTAGATGAAGCCGCTTTGGAGCCATCTTGCCTATTGTTGCTCCGACCAGGTTCTCCAGAGGAGGAATCCCTGAAACCCAACCTAGCTCTGTCAGTTCTGTCTTGACTTCCATTCTCACCCCGATGCTTTATTTCCCTATCAGATTCTCGTACCCTGTCTCTGTCTGGTCCATGTTCTTGACGGTTTGATGACTTCAGCATTTCTCCCCCTCTGTCTGAGGATCTATAATCATACCGGTGCTTTGATGACTCCCGTCCAACTCTCCTACTGTCATGTTTCTCAACCCTATTTTTGATGACTTCAGGTCACCCATCAGATTTATACTGCAAAGCTGTGTCAGAGCCCTCGAGAGCAGCCGACCCACTCGCTGGTTCTTCAGGCCAGCGTTGGGCTTTAAGGGCTGGAATAGGGGCCACCAGACAGGGGTCGAGCTGGCCATCAGTTCGGCCTGCCTGCTGGAGGTCGATGCTCACCATAAGGGGCGGTCGCCTGGCACCATTCCCAGCTGCAGTGGCCTCTTTCGGCGTTAGTTTGCAATCATTGCCCCCGCCTGTTGCTCCACTTCCTGGTGCACCTGTAGGGCCACCTGGTCCCCCAGCTCCAGACTCCAAAGGAAAGGAGTCCTGTTTTCTTTTTTTCAGTGGCTTGTCTTTAAAAGAAAAAAAAAATCATACCAATTACAATTCATTAGCATTAACGTTGCAATGATATCTACACATGTGAAGATACTCCACACACCTTTATCCTGGACTTCCTTGGAGCACTTTTCACTAGCCGCTTCTCGTTCAATCCTCTCAATTTCAGCGAGGGTGTCAAGCTCTGCTTCATCGTACGGCGAACTCGGTGGTTGAAGCCCACCTCCACTGCCTGCTTGGTGAGCGAGTGGCGGTTGTTGCAGCCGTGCTGCTACATTTTGCTGGAGGACAGGGACCTGCTGGTAGCCCACCTCTGTTTCCATGCTGTCGAAGTTCTGGTCCATGCCTGATGCATTGTCACCTGAGACAATGTATACAAAATGTTTTCACCAACACCAACTCATGCTTTGTCAGAAAAACAAAAACAATTCATTTCATAAACCAATAGACATTATTAGGCCCAGATTAAACAGAAAAAAATAAAAAAAAGACATTCTCTTACTAGGGGGATCCGACTCGTTTGATTTGACCCTGGACAGTTTGAGAGTGAGTTTTCTTGAGTCCTTGTTTGGAGAGCAGACAATGTCGTACATGTCCTTCTCCTCTTTTACTTCGGTCATCATCCTTTGATGCATATGCTGTTTCAGGTCAGGTGCTCCCTCCCTTGGTGAGGCTGCATAAGGAGGAGGTGACTGCAGAATCAGTGGAGGACGTGAACCGGCTAACCGGATGTAAAAAAAATGAAGAAAAGAAAAATATTAATGCATGTAGAACAGAAGATGTGTCTTTTTCATGTACTATGATAAATGTACAGAGTAAAAGGGAAGTAGCTTTTGAATTGCATCACGTCAGCCGCTACTGGAAAATTGAACATATAACAATGATAATAACTTCAGGCCAGGTGGAGTCTACTGAAAATTACCGTATATGAGGTATTTCCCTTTATAATTTTTTACCTTTGGGAGTTCCTTCACTTCCTGCTGGGGAGCAACCAGACTGCAGAGATCTCAGAGGAAAAGAAGGATTCCTCATGGTAGAGTCACCCTCCTAGACAGAACAGATATGGTTATTTTACCATGTGTTTTCCCTTTAGTCTTGATAATAAGTTTGTTCATGACCAAATAAAATTGGTAAATGTATGCATTTACAAAAAGCATCTCGTTCCTAAAATGTGTTTCCACATTAATAATAATAGAAAACAGATCAAGTTATAAAGCTTTAAACAAAATTTGATTAATGATTACTTTCATACTTGAGAGACTTTATTCAGAAATCCCAGTAACTTGTGGATCAACGTTGCATAACAGCTCCTAGAACTCTTGACTCTTCATGCAAGTATACTCGTGTATATGCTTAACATCTAATTAATGATACCTCACTGCCCAGTCGTTGTACAATATTAAGGTAGTCTTCAGTGCCGTGTCTGTCTGAATGGTGGTTTGCAGCGTTGGCCAATTGCCCTGTTGCTTTGACCTCATGGATATTTCTTATGCCGCCTGGAACCATGGGACTGGATACAGCCACTACAGAATAAAAAAAACAAACAGATTAAAGGTGGTAAAAGCTAATGTTTTACGTTACAAAAATGCAGTATAACAACAATTCAAAATCATGTCTTTCTCAA